GACTTCCCTCCTGCCTTGTTTCTTTTCAATTCAGTTTATTTGTGTTGAGCTAATTAAAAAAAAGACATCTGTTGGCACTTCACAATAAAACTAAAATAAGTTTCCCACACTGAGGCCAAATTAATAAAAAAGTGGCCTATAAAACTCACACACTTTGTTGCCTTCAGTTAAAATACAGTAGATTTTGTTTTGATGTCATTTGATAGAACAGCATCAGTTCCTCAGACTTAATCGTCGTGAAATGGAATGAAAAGTTCAACATGACTATGAAGCATTTTATAAGTGAAGGCTGTGTGCAGTCAGTCGTTTGTTGAACAGCGTTTTGCAGCATATCCAGCTGCTGTCATCTGGGGTCTCCTGCAGCTTTGTACATTGACAGCTGCAGCTTTTTGTTCTGTTCTTTGCAAAAAAAAGCTGGAGTTTGTTCAGCCGGATGGAGAAGAATCCTGCTCTTGCTACATAGAAAGTTGGGTTTGCCTTGTGATTGATGTTGCATGTTTGTGCTCTTTCAGGCTGTAGGTTCTGCTCAGAAGTTCTACAACAATGAGCACATCTACCCCTACATGTACCTGGCTGGGTTCCACTACAGACACAGGAATGTGCAGGAGGCGCTGAAGGCCTGGGCTGAGGCAGCGCAGGTCATGCAGGAGTGAGTTTACACTACAAGGGATGGGAGGTGGGAGAAGTTTAGGACAATAGAAGCATGTCAGCGTAGCTCACTGTAGACTGAAACACAAGCTGATGAACAGTAAGTTCTGTAAGTCACATATGTTTCTACTGCTTATGTTCCTCAGTACACTGCTGCTGTTCATGAATCCTCATACTTTATCATGACTTTACTTGATTTATGAGACATGGATGATAACACTGAGTTACAAAAAGCCTTTTTGGAAGTTATCTATGTTTTTTCAACTGAATTGGGTTATTCCCGAGGGGTGTAGTGTGTTTGGAATAGACTTAGAGTTACATTGTTGGGTGTGTTCTGTAATTCTCATGAATGTTTGTATAAACCTTGTGGGGAGTATTTCCTTCTCTAGAGGATCTGTAGACATGTTGGTGGCATCGTGTCGGTACAGTTCTGAGATCTGATTATTTACACCATGTTTGTTAAATTCCTCTAGCTGCTTCGTCGTTTCTGCTTTTAAGGCCTTCCTGAGGCCTGGACTACATTTTTAGCTGTCTGCGTATGAATAACGTAAATGGGCAAGAAAATTGTGACTCCTCCACATTTACAACAGAACATGTCCTAAAATGAGCTCAAGCAGTGCATTCACAAAGCAGGTTCAAAGTTCCACCAGCAGGTGGTGTAGTTCTGCATACATAAATAAGACTGCATGAAAAGCTTTGGACTTGTTGCCAGTTTGTCGCTGTTTCAGTCAGATTGTTGCGGAGCATTTCCTCTCACTGAACACAGGGTGGCAGTAGACGCACACCTTGTTGGTCCTTCAGATTCCTAGAGTTTTACCCAAACTATTCAGTCTGTTTACCTGCTGCCTTACCAGGCTCAAAGTGGAAAGCGCAGGCCTGTAGCCTGTAAGGTGGTAAAGCAGCTCTCTGTGGGGATTTTCTGTTATCACACTGCTACTAACAAAGCCCAGACTGTTGCGACTCCTGGTGACGCTCGGCCTGAAAGGACGTTGTGTGATCCAGGAAGCGTTCAGCTTGGCATCCCCACATACCCGTTCATGAGCTGTGGCTATTAATACCAGCACGCACACACACCCACACGCACACCCACACCCACACCCAGTCCATCAGCTTCCTTTTCCTGCTTTCCCATTGTTCTCTGCTGCAGCGCACCCTCACTGCACAATCACAGGGAAGTGTGTGCATGTGTTTCAAACATGATGATGGTGGAGCTCAGATCTTATCGAACTGATCCAGAAGTGAACGTCTGATGGGAAGATGGGGGGGGGTAAATCGGTTCTTTCATTTCCTCAGATGTATTAAAGCACTTGTGTTGCTGCTGCAGCTATAACTATTTCCGTGAGGATGAGGAGATCTACAAGGAGTTCTTCGACATCGCAAATGACGTTATCCCCACTCTGCTGAAGGAGACGGCTACAGCTGACAGTCCTGGGGAGGATGGAGACGGGGCAGAAGGGCCCGACAAGGTGAGCGCTCACTGCATGTAAGGGTTAAAGGTCAAATTTAACAGAGAGTTGAAACTTGCATGAGATCCATCAAAGTCTGAACTGGAGAACCAGCAGCTGTTAGTGGGATTTCTTTGACCCGGTCTGTTCCTTCAGGAGAACGCCAAGCAGATGACGGCTGTCTCAGCACTCCAGGACCCAGAATGCTTTGCTCACCTGCTTCGTTTTTATGACGGCATCTGCAAGTGGGAGGAGGGAAGTCCCACCCCGGTTCTTCATGTGGGCTGGGCCACATACCTGGTCCAGTCTCTGAGCCGCTTTGACTCTCAGGTCAGGAACCGCTGCTTCTGAGCTACAATTAATGTTTCTTTACTTTTTACATTTTTCATTTAATATTTTATATTTTTAAAATGTATTTTATCTTTTTTATCATTGACTGTTGCTCTTTCTGTGCTGTTCATTGCTGTGTGGAAATATCCAAAGTACGTCATAAAAAACCCCAGCTTGTTTTAAACTGCCAGGTACGTCAGAAAGTGTCCATCATCACCAAAGAACCCGAGTGCCAGGATGATGATGACCAGTCGAGTGAGGACCCCCGGGAAGGCCGGCGGCGGGGCCCCAGGAGGGAGTCCAAGCTGGAGGATCAGAGCTCTTCTCCGCCCACTGCCCCCACCTCTCCACTTAGCCAGCAACCCGCAGCAGCAGCAGCACCTCAGCCCAAGAAGGTGGGGGACGGAGCTGTTCGCCGTCGCTCCTCTCAGGGTCTGCGGGCCGGAGAGACAGACGGGACTCCCAAATCCCCCAGCTCAGAGTCCGTCTCCTCCCCGTTGTCCCAGCAGCTGGCCTCGCCCTGCCCCGCTGGCCCTGTGGTCGTCTTCCAGAGTGAGAAGATGAAGGGCATGAAGGAGCTGCTGTGTGCAGCCAAGGTCAACTCCAGCGCCATCAAACTGCAGCTCACTGCCCAGTCCCAGGTCCAGATGAAGAGACAGAAGAGCACCCCGGCAGGGGACTACTCCATGTCCTTCATGAAGCGCCAGCGCAAGTCACTGTAGACATGCTGATTGTTGAGGAGAGCGGAGGGAGACAATACTGTGAAAACCCTGAGAGACACTAGTGGTCTTCATGTAGGTAACCATCTCAGTTTACATGCGTCATTCTGAGCAATAGATTTGACTTGCACAGATGATGAACATCACATATCGGAGGAACTGAACATTTCATCTAGTTTTAATTTAAGAAATGAAGTTAGGAGAAGAGGCTGGCTGATAGTTTGGAAGCAGCCTCTCATTAGTTTGTGTTTGAACTGACAACTTGTGGAACTTGTCATTTACTTTTGTGAAGAAGCCAAAGTGATGGAGAACATCGATGTAAAAATAAACCTACCCACCCAATAAGAAGAACCTGTTGATGACTGAAACCTTGGAAAGGATTAATTTAGGATAGTTACTGTGTAACATTGTCCACTCTGCTCTACTGACAGCTTCTTTCTTGCTAGCTCTATGTTGCCTTATTTGGTTTTTGTTGTTTCTGAAGTAGGTGGCCTTTAGTTTGAAGAATGCCTGAGCTCAGCCTGATTCTGTTCATTGGAGAGACCATGCACTGTTTCGATGGAGCCCCACTGGGTCACTCTGCTACGTCGTTTTGCTTGATACCTTGTGGTTCTTTTTCTGGTATCTACAAGTAATAAAGACCTAAAAAAACAAGAATCTGTCATGATTTTCATAAAGTCATAGTGCTTGAATTGTTTTGACTCACCGATGAAACACATTCAACCCCTTTAACTACGTAGGCTAACTAGGAAAATGTACAATCAACTGAACAGAAAACATGAACAACACAAGTAGCTCAACGCATCACTATCTGAGCATCAGTCAGTGCTACAAATAAGAATTTTGCCATTGGCCTAAATTTGCAACAAGTTATACAACAAATGAATCTACCAGTTGGAGGCCTTCAGTAAACTACTCAAAGACTAGCACTATTAGTTAATAGATTAGGCGGCCGGCATATTGAAAGGAAAACTGCAGTGCTGCGGTGACTCCATCAGCAGGAAAATAACAGCCACATTGACACACAGGTTAGTCTGGTTCCCTGTCAGCATCGAGAGTCAGCAGCACATTCTGCAAACAAACCAGAAACCAGGGCAGTGGATGACCTGTGATGCACTGAAACACCTCTGGACTGCGTTCACCAAGACTGGACAGCTTTCCCAGAGATCTGCCCCGCAATGACAAACCATCAGAAACACAAACACTTGAGATAACATCATCATCTGTCTGGCTCCGTCTTGAGGGTTTTAATATTGTGGTGCTGTCAGCTTTATGGTAACAGTTTAAACTGTTCCAGAGTGACATGTTCATCACTTGCTCCATCCACTTCCATCCTGCAGGAGCATCTTAGCTGAAATCAGTTCAAACATTGTCATGAATATTAATGTTCATGTCTCTTAACAGGGTCTAAATAATCTGCTAATTGTTGCTTCAATCAGTTGATTAGTTCACCGATTAATTACATCCTGACATTCTGACGTCATCTATTTTACACACTGCGTGAAATGTTCACACGAATGGGCCGAGAGCTTTTTCATACATCTCTCTCTGTGTGTGTGTGTGTGTGTGTGTGTGTGTGTGTGTGTGTGTGTGTGTGTGTGTGTGTGTTGTTTGTTTCTGGGCTAAAAATAAATACCACAATAAATGTCATGATGTCATGTTTTACGCGATAAATTTAGTAAAAACGATGTTCCATTTCAGAACGTTCTGATGAAATGATCCGATATTTGCTCGTGAAAGTGAATATTTGTTGATTTCAACAGTCGTCTGAACTGTCCGCGCAGTCAGTGGGAAATGTCTTCCAGCGCCGCTTCTGCTCATGCGTGCTGCGCTTCCTGCGCCTCAGGATGGGCTGAACTTTCACACTCAGTCACAAATCAGCGCCTGGACGGATCCAGCAGCAGCAGCACCCAGCCTGCAGTCAGCCTGCAGTCAGACCCGATCGCCCCGCCAGGCTCCGATAGGACCGGGATCTGTCTTCTCCATCGATCCGACTGAGGATGTGGAAATAGAGACTGAGTCTGAGCCCCACAGGTGCCTCCCAGCATGGACAGGATAGGGGTCTCCTTCCTGGACCCCCTGGAGGACTACGAGCTCATCCACCGGATTGGTTGCGGAACCTACGGAGATGTGTTCAAGGTAAAAGCGTGAAAGGCATGTTTTCACCGAGGCGGAGGGGCGACGACATGCCGGTGTGTTCGTTAACCTGAGCAGCTGAGGACCTGCGCAGGAAGCGCACAGGAAGTTTGGCTTCTTGACATGAGAGTGAACCTGTTTGTTTGGGGAGAAGCAGACAGATTTGAGCTCCACCATGGAGTCCAAACTCCCTCCACCCGCCAGACCCAGACCCAGACCGATCCGACCCAATCCACTCAGGACGTGGCTGTGGGTATTTTACCTGTCAGAACCTTCCTGCTGAGCCTCTCTGTTAAACTCTCTAAGCTCCTCGTCTCAGCTGGAAATCCCTATTTTTTTTTCTGTATGGAGGCAGATATCATCTGTTTCTGCTGAGATGTAGCAACTTATTACATATTACATAAATGTCCAATGTTTCCGCCTGCTTTAGAAAATGTCCAGCCTGTCATTGTGTCTTTTTCCTCTGATCTGAGTGTCAGGATGCAAACATCCTGCTCTGTTCACGCAGCCCGGTGCCTCCTGCATCCTGCAGAAACTGGGCCAGAATTTGCATTGTTTCTTCTTCTTTTTTTAAAACGTATCACAGATTCCATATCTGTGACGTGAGGAGCTTAGGTGTAAACAGGAAAAAAAAAAAAATAAAATAAAAAATGATCACCACCTGGTTGTTGCAATTTAGTTAGGATTTCACATTTAATATGAGCCATCAGGACATAATCAGAGTTGCAGAGTTGATGGTCGGTCCAATGGTTGTAAAGAAACCTGAGCAGAATTTGGTGTCAAACTTCTTAAATTAAGTCCACCACACTCCGAACACCAAAAGGAGCATTTCAACAATGTTTTGGGACGTGGATAGATTACGTTGTCGGTCTTACAGTTAAAATCAGCAGTTAATTGTGGGATGTTTTTGCCAACAAGCACAACACAAAAGACTGAAGTTTGAAACCTGGTGAATCACAGTGAATAGTGAACAGCTACAATCCACAAATATTTGGGATTCCTTCTCAAGACGCTTAGAACTGTCTATTTAAACGGCTCACACATCAAATATACCTTAAATATTTATTAATATGTAAAGACAATAAATTGCGCTTCTGGATCGGCTGCTTTGCAAACGCAGGTTGTGTTTAACTCAATAATCCATTTTGTTTCTATTTCTAAGCTCAAGCTTAACCCTCTCAGGCTCAAATTACTTGAAAAGACTGTTTAAGTTGTTGCAAATCTGCAACCCCTGCCTGGAGAGAGTTAAAGCTAAATTAAAGAGGGCTAAATCAGGATGAAACATGAAGCAGAGCCGTCCTGCTCCAGATTCACTCATGTCTTCTGAAACACCAGAATTTCTTCCCGGCTGGCCCACAGAATATTTCTGGTTTGACAACACGATCTGTTGGGGTTAAAATCAGGCGACGTCCTTCAACCCAACCCAGTTTTAGATTGATTGGAATGTTGCACTGTTTTCACAAACAGTCGTGCTATGAAGTGTTTCTCAGCCAGGAGGTAGTTTCAGTTTGGTTGAAACGTTCTCGGCCTGCTCTGGCAGCCGTCGTCCCCACGAGACTCTCAGAGTGGTAAAGGAAGTGATGCGTTTTCAGTTAGCAGCCGGTGGTTTGTTCAGTGCCCAGGCTGGCAGGTGTAGAAAATGCTGAAAGAGTTCTTGTTTACAGATTTTTCCTGTCTCTTTTCAGTTGCTCTTTCTTATCTTGTTGAAGCAGTTGTGTGCCGAGACCAGCTGCATTTAGCTTGACTGCAGTTTGAAAGAGGAGGTTTTTACAGTCGAAAACATGAAGTGTACTGATTTAACTGCCCGTTGGGGTTTTGCAGGGTTCAATATAAAAGTATGTGCAAAAAGCATTTGGGTGGCAGGTCTCAGCGTGCCTTTTGGCTCTAAACTTTTATCTGCTTGTGTTCTTTAGCATTAGAAATATCTGGCCTGCAGCTGTAGAGACACTGAACACACTGTCACATCATCCCCGGTTTGACTTCATGCGTTGTGCTCACATGTTACAAATTAGAAGTACGACCCAAACGCAGCGGCACGGACCCGACAGAACTGCACCAAGTGACCGCTGGGTCCCGCTCTCTGACGGGGCCACAGACCTTCAGCCTCTGATCAGCTGACTGACAGTCTGCAGCACCTTTGTGTTACTCTGACAGCTGAACATACAGTGGCCTGTGTCTCAGCTGGGAATGGGAGCAGCGCCACATACAGTCACAGACAATAGCACATTATGACTGCCCACTTCTGTTGGCGGATTTGGTGGAGCTGCATCGTCTGGCGTGGAGGGAGAAACCTCTGGACATGTGACTGTGTGGGCTGTCAATGGATCCTGGTGTTACTCAGCTCTAGTGTGTGGCTCTCAGAAACCACAAAGCCCTCTCTGACGCTGTCATATTATTATAAATATATAGATACTGAATTTAGCTCAAATACAGATAATGACCTTGAGATGGTTTCAGGATGACCGACTAGATTTTTTTCTTTTCATCCTTATTGTTAAAACATTGATAATAATCCCCCCCGCTCCCTTCTTTTCTCCTTTTTTGTGGAGAAAAAAAAGGGATTTTGTGTCAAAACATCCTGCACATCTAGTCCACATATGTGGGGGTGGGCACATTGTACATCCTAAAACTAAACGTGTCGTGAACTTTGGTTGTTTAGTTTTAGTTTTGTTCATTTCTGTTCCTTAGTTCCTTTGGTTTGATCAGGTCAGCCGTGTTTCTGTTCTTCTTTGGTTCAGTCCTTTCATAGTGAGTCTTGTTTATCATGTTTATTTCTTGTCCAATTATTCTCTTACTCTAGTTGCATTACTTTAATTATTTATTGGGTGTAGTTATTCTTTAGGGTTAAAATGATTTCCTTCTCTCCTGAACCTCTCCTAGGCAGTGTACAAGGGGAACCTCTGGGACACGAAGCTGTGGTGTTTAAACAATAAAACTTTACTCAACTGGTAACAGCAGTACAAGAGTGAGAAAACTTAAAAATCTTCCACACCATCTCCCTCACTCGGTTCCTTCAGACTAGCCAGCAGCAATTAGCATTATAGGAGCTGCTTCTCCAGGTAACGCTGGTAAAAATGTTGTGAAACGGTTAATAGAATAATAATCCATTTTAATTGTTTGCACTTTTCAAGGACACTAAATAAGAAAAGAAAATACAAGAATACACCAAAAATAAAAACTTAGGTAGAGGAAAAAAGTTAGTTGACTTCATGCAAATCACATGTGAATCAGTGAGCAGAAACAGTGAATACGCAACTCAATATTAGTTCAATGATTAACAGGAACTTTATATCTTAAAGCATTTCTTGGTTTATACTATATAAACAATATACCATATAAATAATTTCATTTGGATTTGTAAAGGAAAATGCAGACAGTGCTGTCTGGGGAGCCTTTTCAATTTCTGCAGAGCGAGAACAAATGTGATTGTGCTGATGCACATTTGACATGCAGTGTGTTCAGATTCCACATCTAGGATTCAAACCCCACATATACTTGCATTGGACCAACACTTTCATTTTAAGTGAAGAATATCGTTCTCTGAAGTCACATTATGCTAATGGATACAAATCTAAACAGCAAAAGATTACTGGTTTATTTTTTTTTAACTTTTTTTTGCCTGTTAAGCATTTAGAAAAGCTTGGGCATAATTATAGTTTTAATAATCGTTGTATGTATCTCTGGTTATGACGTAGTTTTGGTGTCTGCTGCAGTGCAGTGTCCTCTCCCTCCTGCTGTATGTGTGCAAGCCTCATTTAGCATTAGTTTGAAAAACCACTTTGTGACATCATCTTTAATGTAGGTACAGGAAGCTCTAAAGTGGAACAGGAAAGAAAACAGGAAGTAGAAATAAGACTGGCTACAGGTTTTGTTGAGGGAAACTGTTGGTTCTTACCTCATTTGTTATGGAGGCCCTGAGCGGAAACCAGTCATTCTGTTCGTGAATGGGAATGACTAAAGTTTTCAGGAAGAACTGATGATGGTTCAATGAATGTACTTAAAAATAACGTTCAGCATTTATTCACGACTTATGCAAAAAAAATACCTAAACATTTACTGGTTCCTTGTAGACGAACAATATTTTTTTCCACTTTCCAAGACTGCGACTTTGTGATGTCAAGTTTTTCGAATGCATGGGATGCCATGTGGTGCACTGCAAAAGGCTATCCAGATTGTGCCACAGATTAACTTTGTCAAGAAAGTGGTACATCCCATAAAATGTTGTGGTCCTAATGCTTAGCCTTGGAGGACTCCATGGAGAAACCCAGAGAAAGCTCTCCATCATCCCACATGCTGCTATCAGTCAGAATGCAAGAAATCTTTATGGTTGCCTGCAAAAATTGTCAAGCACTTTGTTCCATTATATGTAGTATATTCATAAGTAATATAGACTCCTGTGGCAGTCTGTATTATTATTTATACATGTGCTAATAAATAAATATACAAGTAATTACATCACTGACATAGTGAATGACACAATTCACGACGTCAACGATGTAGTTTTTTCTTTTTTATGTGATATTATTTAAAGCCTTTTTTTGTTTTTACATATTCCTCAACATGGCTGCCATGATAAACCCATTTTAGCCGACGTGAGACTTTCGTAAGTCAACCACTTGAGCTGTTTTTGACATGCGGCACTGTACGATGATTACATAAATAGTGGCAGTGCTGTTGGTTGCACTGCTGCTCACTCGCCTCTCCTCCCCCACTTCCGACCAACGCAACATGTTGTCTCTGTGAGAACGTCTCTTTCCTCTGCAGGTTAACGTCAGGCCTCCTCTGTCCCGGTAACAGCTCACAAAGCAACCAGAAGTTTCAGACAAGATTCCAATTTGTCTTGACTTGTGACTGTTGCTCTCTGTGTTGGAAAGTTTATGCTCTGGTTTGATCAAATCTGGATTTTAATTTAATAACTCTTTATCCCAAAGGGAAATTAGGTCACGATGATTTCACATGAGATGACTTCGTGCAATATGTAACTTGTCAAAATTCTCAGTGATGTGAATTAAAGGTGGTGATTTTGTTGCGATTTAAGCGGCGCCTCAGAAAAAGCACCCACCATCTCAGATTTCTTCTGTGTCTGCATTTTGTCACAAATTATGATTTCAATTTATGCCAACCCTCTTGCTTCTCAGAAAAAAATAAGCAAAAAAATAATAATTTTGATCTAATCTTGAAACCCGAGACTTTTGGGAAATCATTATGGACACTAACAAGAAAAACGTGAAACTTTTGTCTCTGTTGTTTAGTTCTAACTACCAGCTGCTAACATAGCAGAACAGAAACTGCAGCATGGCTTCATTCAGAGTCCTGGAATGAGTCTTTCTTACATCTGGACCTGATCGACCTGCTCTAACTGAGCCATGAATCCTGCTTCATCAGACGCGTCCAGCCAGCAGTTTGTTTCTTCAAAGAGTTGTTGTAGAGCCTGTGGGCAGAAGGGATCTCCTGTAACAGTCTGCGTCACAGTGAATTTGAAGAAGCCTCTGACTGAAGACACTTGTATGTTTCGTGAAGGAGATGCTCAGCGTTGTCCATCATTTCCTTGATTTTCTTGATTTCCTCTTCAACTGCCTGCCGTTTAAAAAAAGTTAATTTAAGCACACTAACCTGGTTGAACAAACACGCACGCACGCATGCACACACACACACACACACACACACACACAAGAAGAACTGTTCTTGAAGTCTTGATCTAGTCCTTCTTCCTCAGGCATTCCTTCTGCTTTTGCATTTTTTTCTCGTGGGTAAATTTTTCCAATCAACCTAATTTTTGTATCAAAGATGCAAAGGCTGATTGGTTTTATGAGAGGAAAGAACTCGACTCATTTATTTAGACCCTTAAGTGTGACAGAAAAGTAAGAATCAGAAGAACTATGAAAGGAGGAAATACGTTCTATATGAACTGTGTTTGGCCCAGATGGTGGGAGGACCAAACTTAAACCTCGAGTTCCTTTTTGTTGATTACTCTGGTTAAAAGTGTGTGTAAAACAACCTGCTGTAGAGTTCTTGATCAAACTGAGAGTAAAGGAGGAGGTTAAAGGTAGAAGTGAAGTTAAACAGCCAATCACTGTGCAGGTTTTCCCCAGACATTCATCTACAGTCTGTATGAAGCTGTTAAAGTATAGATATTGATTCCTTTAATAGCTTTTTGACATCATTTATTTTTATTCTCTTCCAGGCCCGCAGCATCAGGACATCTGAACTGGCAGCGATTAAAATCGTCAAACTGGATCCTGGTAGGTTTAAGAGTTAAAACACAAATTTCACACCTGTCCGTTTTACTCTGAGTCACTGACTGAAATGATGTTGTTTAGGAATCCTTGAGATTGACTATCAAATGATTTTACATTTTATCTTCCATCCATCCATTTTCTTTACATCCTTATCCCTAGTGGGGTCAGGAGGGGTACTGGTGCCTCTCCAGAGAAGGTTTCAGGCGAGAGGTGGGGTACACCTTGGACATGTCGCAGGGCAACAGAGACAGACAGGACAAACAGCCATGCACACACACACACTCACACCTAGGGAAAATTTAGAGAGACCAATGAACCTGATAGTCATGCTTTAGGATTGTGGGGGGGAAACTTTTAGTGCTTATGAGAAGGTGTTCTAATCGGCGGTTGGTCAGATTTTCTTTGTGATCAAACGAGGCCAGCTCTCAACACGGCTTGATCTAAACAAGCAATGTTTTCCTCAAAGGCTTTTTATGCAATGGTCTGATAAAAGAGGGGGGTCACCTTGCACAGTTCATCACAGGGCAAAAGATCCATACCACTTTTCATAAGCCCAATGCATTCTGGGAGTCAGAGATGCAACGATTGTAGATTGATGTTGCATAGAAAAGGAGTCAGCTGGTTGTTCGGTGTGCTGTCGCTGCAGGAAGACTCCATCATAAACCAAACAGTTGATGTTTTCTGTCCCGACAGATGAAACCGGGACGAGGCTCAGGATTTATTTTGGCTCGTGTTTTCTACTTGGCTGGAAGTGAATTGTTTTCAATTAGGTGAACTTTCTGAATGAATTGAATTACAGTACATTCAGAATAAAGACGTATTAGAATAAATCGGAGCCAACCTATCAACTAACATGTAGGTTAAATACAGACCCCTAGAGCCACTGCAATTTACTCTGCGTCTATATTTCTAACCTTCAGAATACGCAGCATCATATAAACCCTGTTGCAATATTGTTCTGTAACGTCTGAGTAGGTGAAATTGCAGGCTGTCTTGCTGAACACCACAGTAAACAGGTGGCCCAACCTCTGCTGACCATAAATACATCCTACCCTATCGCTGTTAGTGCGGGTCTGTGATTTCCAGCTCTGTAATTTTCTCTCCTTGTGTTTGTGACATGAGAGTTGAGAGGAAAACATTCACTCAGACGTCTGTCTGGACAGGTGATGACATCACATCCATCCAGCAGGAGATCACTATGATGAAGGAATGCAAGCACAAAAACATAGTGGCCTACTTCGGCAGCTATCACAGGTGATGAATGTTTTTAACACGGGGGAAGCTACTGGGATTGTACACTGGTGGAAATGTTTGGGAGTTTAATGTTTATTTTACCCACAATGCAGCTGGATTCCTCTGCCTGGTTTTAGTCTGCGCAGCAGCATGTCTTACTATCTATCAATCTATCAACTTCCTTAAACGAAAGAGTAAATATGTAATACATTAAAAGCTGGCGCTTTTACAGTAGTGAGTTCACTGTAAATCCTCTGCACTCCCATGTTAAAATGTCATGTTTTCCAAGAGAAGATTTTGTTTTGAATCATTTGATTCAAAATCTGAACAACAGATTTATTGGGGGGAACAAAAAAACAAATAAAATCCTAAACACATATAAAGATGTTTATACATGCTGTGTTAGTGTATTGTTAGACCCTCATGCTCTGTGCTGAACCACTTTTTAATTCAGTTTTAGTCCTCTTAGGTACACACCTTTCAACACTTAAACTGACATAAGGTTCACCTCATCTGGCTGGATTTTATCTTTCAGCTAAAATAGAATTTGCAGAAAAGTGGCAAAGAACCTCAAATATATCATGGCTCAAATCCACCTCATTTTCCAACCCGTCAAGTCCTTCTGTAAAGGCTCCAGTGAGCACTGTTCATTATTCAACCTTAAACTGGGCTCGTCCAGCTGCTCACTGCAAAAATTTCACACAGCGGAGCAAAAATAATTATCAGTGTTTAAGAACCACAGACCACTAGGGGAGAGCTTTAGAAGGACCTGTAATAAGCAGGCACAGTTGTTAAAACAAACAAACAAAAGAAAACAGTTTGCAGTGCATTCAACCACTATGGCCTGTATGCATTTTCATCACGTAAGACTCCACTGCTGAAGAAAAAGCGTGTTTAAAAAGACAAGCTGGAAGCTTGTCAGCGAGGCTACCAGGAGTCTGACACTGATTGAGTGATTGATTCATGTTGGCCTTATTTACTTCTTCACACTAAGCTGCCATTTCAGCAGCAGTGAAAGGTTTGTGTCTCCACAGGAACACCAAGCTGTGGATCTGTATGGAGTACTGTGGGGGCGGGTCGCTCCAGGACATGTACCAAGGTACTAACACACTTAGATCCTTTTTAGTGCTTTCTGTGTCTAACTTTGAAGTTGTCCAGTTTAACCGACATTCATTTTGTTCTGATATGTTTTTCATTCTGTGGATTATTTTATTTTTTTGGACTTTGGCACTTATCTTATAAAATTAGACCAAACTGTATGACTTAAACTTACAAAAAACCTTATACTTAGCAAATTCCCCTCTCTTACTATTGTGAAAGAAAGGCCAACTTTAGAAGAAAAAAAAAACATCAGTGTTTGTTTGTCTCTAAGCTGTTAATCAAACTGTTGCTTGCAGTGACGGGTCCACTGAAAGAGAAACAGATAGCGTTCGTCTGCAGGGAAACCCTTCAGGTAAGGCTTTTTGGCTCAAACCAAAAATAGAAATACTGCTGCAGCCTCCCAGCTAAGCCTTACTGATAGACTCTGTGGTCTTTATTGGGTAATCAGTCTTGGTTCATCTTCTTGTGGAATCATGAATGAGGCATAATGGCCTTCCCTCTATATGTAGGACCAGTTCTAATGTTTACAAGACAAATAGGCCCAATTTACAGTCTAACTTGACAACACAATGTCAGTGGTTCTTGTCATGTAATTGGTGGGATGCCAGGTGTGTTGACAACATGGCCGTTTCTTCTGGGTTCTAGATTTCTCTCTTTTAGATGGTGAGTCGGATGCCATGTAGATCTGGATCTCCCTGACAGTTGAATCTTCCTTCGTCTTTAACATACTTGAATGAAGATCATTCAAAATAAAAACTACATTTGTATGGAGTTTATCTAACTTGCTTTCTGCCTTTTTTTTCTTCAGGGTTTGTATCACTTGCATGAAACAGGCAAAATGCACAGAGACATAAAGGTATGGTATCTCCGAGTCTGACTGGTGTAGTGATAACATCTGGTAAACTGTGGGATTTGCTGTGCATGCAAACTTAGATGTGGGTCTGCACCTTCTAGGGAGCCAACATCCTTTTGACTGAACGAGGTGACGTCAAGCTGGGCAAGTAGAGATCTGCACTTAAACACCTTCACAGACACCTACACTGCATGAAAAAGATTGTTTCACCGGCTCATTGTTTCACTTCTAAAAGCAAAGTTTTCTCATGAAATAAATGAAATAATCTGCCAAAGGAGCTAGAACTTTTTCATCAATATGAAGAAATTATTGACTTAAAACATGCAAGAACAAGATCATTTTGTTCTGCATTAATTCTAGTTTACAAAGATATTTAGGAAGCGCTTTATTTGACAGGGTGTGCATAAGACTGACATGACAGTGTCATAAAGGTGACATAAGACCTGTCATGAAGATGAAGGGAGTCTTCATATCTATTTACAAGTGTTATTATAACGTTAATAACACTTTTAATGCAAAATTCCATTAAAATTCCATTAAAATTCCATTAAAATGATTAACTTTGCATTACAACAGTGATGAAGACTCCTTCATGTTCACAACATGAAGATGTTTTTGGTTATGTCACGTTTATGACAGTGTCTTATGCATCAAATAAAGTGTTATCTAAATGTCTTCGTAAACTTGCAATAATACAGAACATAGTGATCTTACAAGTAACCTTACAGCAAGAAATAAGAACATGTTTTAACTAGACCAAAATTACTTGGCAAGAAGTTATGTTTTTGCAGCGTGCACATCCACGGCGTCGACTCCATGGCATGTCTGAAGTGATCTGTGCTGGATTTCAGCCTCCAACATGACTGTGTGTTTGTTTCTCATTCCTGCTGTGTGTAGCTGACTTTGGAGTGGCAGCAGAAATCAGCGCTTCAGTGGCCAAAAGAAAGTCTTTTATTGGAACTCCTTACTGGTGAGTTGACCCAAACTTCCCTCTCTGCCTTCTAACTGTTTATGTGTTGGAAGTGTTCAGGCTCCAAATAATCAATGTGATGTTTCATACTCAGTCTGACAGCAGGAGTGAGATGTGGGTTTGGCCGAACAAGCAGCTTGGACTCCATGTCTTTAGAGTTTCTAAATCATTTATTTAACACACCATGCTTGAATAGTGAACCTCTGTTTACTTCAGACAACTAATGTCAGTTTGTCAAGGCATATTCTTTCAAGGTCATTTACTTAACCTTTGAGTCTTTTGATTTTTTTTCTTTAATTAATTTATGCCCTTCCTGTAAGAAAAAAAATACTTGATCTGTAATTTCTCATTTATTCCATTTGAATGTTTTGCTTTTATTTGTTTCCTAAAGTTAAGGTAAAGTTATTCAAGAAGGGAATATTCTCTACTGCTCTTAATCCAGGCCTTGACTCTTTGTCTTTTCCAGCTAAAGAGACATTTTTGAATATTGTTTTCCAGGCTTTTTAAACATATTTTAGAGTTGTTGTTTTTTTTTGACATTGGTTGTTTATTCTTGACTTAAGTTTGCCAAGCTAAAAACAGCAGCATTACATGGAGACAACGATTTCCCAAGATCATAAATAAAGCAGCTTCATCAAGGATGTGACTGGATTGTGTTAAACAGTCAGGTTAGCATTCCTGTTAGTTTTCAGACCACTTTTTCATATTTTCTTCTCCTTGTGTATGAAAGAAATTACTGCTCTCACTGTAAAGAATTCTCCTTGAACCGAAATGAAAATCTGCAAATTATCCTCAGAAACCCTCTGAGACTTGCAGGAAGCCTTATGCACCATGGAGCTGTTCATGTTATTGTTCTGTGCAATGGTGGAAGAATCAGTTTTAAATTAAAACCCTCAACTGAGCTTTACTTCATCACAATTACAAGGTACATTAATATTATGCAGAGATGCATGTTAGATGGCAGTATTATGCCGATTTTATTTGTTCTCTTTTTACACAGAACTGTTCTTCCAGTTCTGTGTAAACTTTCGCATTTTATTATGAGTGCCTGGTGAGACTGTTCAACTGGCTTAATGTTATGTTAGCATGTGAATTGTAAGTTCATAATACTTGAAATATATTACTATTCTTATTCCACTCTTTTTATATAGCAAAGGACTACAGCAAATGGTTTGTTGCTATATGAATATCGCACACACCCGGGTTTCTAATCAAACGACTAGACACAGATCTGGTCTGCATTTCAAGGATATTGAGCTGTTAGCATGTCATCAGAGTCACATAATTGTCACACAGCAACAATCTTCAGTCAGAAGCCTCTTCAAATGTGTTGCAAGACTGACTGCTACTGGGGGTCCTTCCTGACAACAACGTGAGAGCATTCTCTCTCTCTCTCTCTCTCTCTCTCTCTCTCTCTCTCTCTCTCTCTCTTTCTTTCTCTCTGTTGGTGCTGAAGTTTGCACTAATTTTGGAACCTTGAACAGAAACGGCAGGAGCACAAACACAAAAGACGCACTCTCACACACGCACACGCACGCACACACGCACGCACACACTCAGGACTAAACTCGCAGAGGACACAGAACGTTTCCTCTTTTTATTAGAACCGGCTCCAGTGGATCCAAACAACCAGCATGCACCATAAACATATGGGGGTCATAGAGTGTGTAAAATCTGTTTTGAAATATGTTGTTTGTTACGTTGCTGGTTTGACCAGCAGTCGCCTCCCCGTTCCCTGTTCAGGATGGCTCCAGAGGTGGCTGCAGTGGAGAAGAAGGGCGGCTACAACCACTTGTGTGATATCTGGGCTGTCGGCATCACTGCCATCGAGTTGGCCGAGCTCCAGCCGCCCATGTTTGACCTCCACCCAATGAGGTGAGTCAGCACAGACAGCTGGCAGAGTGACTCAGACAGGGGACAACCAGATTGCAATAGAGGTCAACTTATTCTGTGCAATGAAATGTGTTTCAGAGCACTGATGCTGATGTCCAAGAGCAGTTTCCAGCCTCCAAAACTGAAGGATAAAACCAAGTGGTGAGTTTTACTGAGCTGCTTAAAAATGATGTAGAATAGCAGGTGAAATGATCCAAAGACGAAGATGAACCAGGAAACTATCCTTTGTGTAGTTTGTCAGACAAACTGACTTTTCTTAGATTGTAATTTGTTCTGAAGGGAATCTCACGCACTGTGCGTGAACTTTCACCTTTCACCCACTTCTTTTTCCCTGGCTATTTGTGGACAGCTCCCCTTACATTACATAGCTTATGTTCTCTTCAAAATCAATGTAAAAAATGACTTCTCATTTCACTGAAACTATTTTCATTCAATATGGAATAACGAACATTATTACGCATTAATAATAATAGTAAAGCTGAGGAATTTCTTACAACTAAGTAATTCCTTAGTTGTATGATTTAACAACTAAGGAATTACTGCAGTTATGATCAAACAAGTGTGCTTCTGTAAAAGAAAATAAGAATAATCTATGACCTGTGATGGACTGGTGACCTGTCCATGGTGACCCCGGCTGTCACCTGGTAGCCGCTAGAGGTAGACACCAACACCCCTCATGTGTTATGATGTGGTCTGTAATTTTAACTTTTTAATCAAAATCATAGTTGCTCACTTCTGTAAGAGAGAACTGACAATGTCAATTCGTCTTTTGTCTTTGGCCCAACACTATAAAACGTGGAAATACTGATTGGTCTCACTTGCTGTTTCTATTCCTCCTGTCCCTCTCGTCCCTTTGCAGGTCTGCAGGTTTCCACAGCTTTGTGAAGATGGCGCTCAATAAAAACCCCCGTAAAAGACCCTCAGCGGAGACACTGCTGCAGGTTGGATGGCCAATCCTACTTTATAATTAAAGTTTGGGTTCACAAAAAGATGTGTTCAATATTCATGTGCTCAATTCTAGCTTCAGCTATACAGACAGAAAAAAAGTCTGGCAGAGGTTCTGTGACTGCAGAAAGAATGAAGTGAAGATGCAATTTATGTTGCAAGGATTAAAATGGTGTAATGAAGACTGTAAGAAGAATGTAGTCCTAAATTTGGTTGAAGAACTAAACAAAAACTAAGCAGTTTTTGTCTAGTTGGGTTGTGTCTCTGAACCATTAGTGGAGAAAGCTCAGCATACCTGGTTGTGTTTTCAGCATCCATTTGTGACCCAGCTGCTGACCCGGAACCTGATCATTGAGCTGCTGGACATGGCCAACAACCCAGAGCTCCACAGCGCTCTGACTCACAGCATCGATGACGGCGAGCTGGAGGTCAGTGACTGAGACTCATCAGGGCTCAGCAACATTTAAATTGTTCTTTAAAGCTGCATCATGAAACTTTTACAAAGAATATGTTTTCATGCATATTTTCTAAAACTTTCACCATGTTGTGAGAGTATGTTATGAGACAGATAATCTGTGATAAGATTGATCTGCTCCTCCTCCATCCAATAAGAGCCAGGAGAAAGGTCTTAGCGCTGTCAATCAAGCTCATGTACTCACCATTAAATGTGCTAATGACAAAGAAGCCAATGTTTTCCCAGAAGTCTTGGGGATCATCAAGATGAATATAGGTTCTTTTTGACCAGCAATGGTTTTCATTTTTGAACATGCAGGCTGTTTTTGCCCAATCCTTTTCCTATGGTGTAAAAAGGTATGACCTCTGACCTTAAATGAGGCAGATGCATGTTGGGGGTCATTTATAATCTCTTGGATGAGTCATCACATGATTATTCCAAGAGAAACAAACTCTTGGAATAATCATGGTTGGCTGGGCTCTACTGGGGAGGGTCACCACTGTTCCATGTTTTCACCATTTGGGAATAATAAGCGTGACAAACATGCAAAAAAAGAAAAGGAAATCAGGAAGAAGATGAACATGTTTTCACAGCACTGTAGTTAAATTTCGTTTCATTTCTGGGTTATTCCTGCCATCCCTGAGTAAAACACTGATGACTCTTGTACTGTTGACAGATCGGGGAAATGTCTCCAGACAAGATTCAGTCTGCAGGAAAACATCTGTCTGTAGAGAGGACCCTGTCTGAAGAACAATGTGAGTTCAACACACACACACACACACACACACACACACACACACACACACACACACACACACACCCACACACACACCCCCCCACCACACACACACACACACACACACGCACACGCACACATGCGCATACACACAGAAATGACATGAGTCACAGTCCAAACAGAGCCCAACCTGATGGAAGCAGGTTTTTCCTGTCCCAGTCCTCTCTTTAGGTGATGGTCTCTTGGTTTCTGCTTCCAGTTGTTTCTGACCTTGAAGCAGGACGGTGTCACATCGCTCTAGTCGTATCTGTCTGACAGAGAATCTGTGGGGGCAGCTATACGGGTTGTGAGTCGTTTATGATCCAAAGATCAATAGATCATGAACCAGTGGAAACACACAAAATACTGCTGGGCAATCATAACCAGGAATTGCCTGTTTCCAATAAAGATTGCATTGCGATGTTTTGTCTCATTTACTGTCAGAAACAAACTCTTTGGTTGAATAAAATACAATTTAAAACTAAATATTTTTGGGGTATGAATAAATTTGGGCTTAACAGTAGATGTCAGAAAGGAAAATGGCATCAATGTTTCCCAACAGGTTTAACTTTCAGTCATTTTGGTTATTTTACATGTTGGTATATTTTCTGTAAGAAAATCCAGTTTGTTCTTCATCTCCGTTGTATGTGAACGAACACTTGATGGTGGTGCTTGTAAAGCAGCATGCATGGAGAAATTCCTGTGCTGCTGCTTGTGCTTTGCTGAAAAGTGGCTTCATTGTCCTCCATGACCCTCCGTGTCCAGAGCTGCATGAGCCATATTTGGGAGGAGCACAACCAGCTCTCAGTCAGGCTGCTGCTGTCCTGTAGCTGCTCTGAACATGTGGGATGAAGGCAGAGGATGGCACTAAGAACATGCCTGCTGTGTGACAGACACAAGTGCTTCTATGCACTCACCCAGTGACTTCACTCTGCCGGCCTGCACAGTGTGTCTGATGTAACAGACTAGCCTGACACTCAGACCACCACCTTGTTATGCACCAGTCTGGTGTTCACACATTAGCCACAAACACCTTGAACCTCAGATTTATCATTCAGAGCTCAGGCGACTCAGACGGCTGCCGCTGCAAGGCTTGGCTCCGGGTCTGAAGTGTCAGAGTCGAACTGGGCTGGGTAGGAATGTGGTGAGTTGGTGGACTGCAGGCCTGTGCATGCTGACAAAATGTTTGGCTCAGAACTTTATAAATATTCCTTCAAAAATGAAGAATGCATCCTTTATCGATAACACAAGCTGCAAATAAAATTTGATTGATTGATTGATTGATATTGAATCATTACAGTCAGAGGAAACCTGAAGTTAATGTGCTACAGTCTGGATTTGTATTGTTGTGTTGGCTCTGTCTCTCTGCTGAGTACTTTAGTGATATGGTTGTTGGAGTGGAGAATCAACTTTTTCAAACTATAGAGCTCTGATCTTTAGTTCAAAACTAATATGTCTGAAAGGAACATAATATTCCCTGTTAGTGTAGCAGAGTGTTTGAACTCTCGGTTGATCTTCACGTCACAGAGAGTAAAATATCCCAAGCATGTGCTTTCATTTCTTAAAGGAGCATGATGAGCCAAATCTTGACATTTCCTTGTTTTATTTAGAGTTCCCACATACTGTCAAGTTTAAGAAAACTACTGCAGAGGATTTGGTGCTAATGCTTCCTCCTGACATGAAGCAGATAATCAGAGACATTATGAGAGTTAACTGGGATGTTTAAGACAGCAGCTTCTGCTTTTTTGGTTTAACGGTTTCCTCATTTGCTGCTTCAAAGGCTCTGTGAAGTCAGCTCAGGCTCGCTGTGGTTAGACGACAAACACAATTTTCACACTTTGCATCTCAGTCAAGTCAGAGCAGAAAAAAAAACAAACAAGTAATACATTCACTGATCCACTGAGTTGCTGCGTAAAATCTGTGTGCAAACATGTTCATTGATAGAAGTCGTATCAACTCTGACGTTCTCTTTGCAGTTGACCAAATAAAGTTTGGACGTCCACTGAGAAAAGTCACAGAGCCTTATCCTGACTTGGTAATGCATTCTGACTGCTCTGCTGCTGATGTCGTATGTGGCACTTTGTTAGCATGACTGATGGCTGTGTTTTTGCTCTGCTTTCTGCAGGGCTCCTATGATGATTGGAGCATGTCTGGAGATGAAGATAACTCACCGTAAGATGTTTTGTTCCTTTTAGTCCTTATTTGGTGTTAAAACATATGGGGGACAGTCATTATTTTTATTCAACATGTCTTTTAACTGACAGTGATTTTCTCTGAATGAAACTAGCAAGAAAAACATGGTGGAAGACAAATATTTCTTATCCACGTTCAGACTACAGTTTTATTGTTTAATGTGTTTTAAGAGATGATGGTTTGCTTATTTCCAGAAGACAGTCAAATACCTTTATTATCTCTATTTTTAATCACGAAAAATGTTGTTTAAGTCTTGGGAATCATCGGTTTAAAGAGGTTACTATTTAAGTTGACCGTACTGTTTCAGAAGCAGTTACAGTTTCAGAGTCTGTTCTGAAAACAAGCTGAGTCAGCGTCTCAGTGGCTGCAGGAATGACCAACCCTGTCCTGCATCACGCCTGGGAATGTTTCTTTACTTCAGACAATTCTTGTTCCAGTCGTTAGTCATGCACTTTGTCAGCAATGAAACAGTTCCCTATGAATGCACACGCGACCAGGCGGAATGTAAATAAACTGACAGTTGATCCAGTTTTAGTGACCAAAGCTGCAGTTTCTAAAAACAGGGAAAGGAAAAAATAAAAAATAAATAATCACTACAGCAACAAGAGTGTCAAATTTTTTTATGGCATAAAGAAATAATTATGCCATAAGAAATAATGGTATAAACATTATAATAATATACAGAAATTATAATAATTCAAATTATATTAATAATATTTATATTTCTAATAAGATAAATACTTTATTGGATCCATTTTTATAATAATGATAATAATTAGTCATCACCAGATTTTTGGATAGAGAAATAAATGTTAAAATATGGAGAAAAAAAAAACCCATTACAAATACATATAGAAAATTTATTGATAATTATCAAACATTTATTTAATGATCTGAAGACAAACAGCAAACGTTTGGACTCAGAACCTGCAGCAGTGCAGAGTTAGAGGTGACCTTGATGTCATGAATGTGATGATAAACTGTTTAATTTTAGTTGAAACTTGACTTGAACTTGTCCCTCAAAGACCTGACCTCGCTTTGGAAAAAACAACTTGCCAGCAGGACAGCGACTCTAAGTATGCAGCCAGAAGTGCAATGGGATGGCTTAGAGGTGTTCTGAATATAAATACATGCCACATTCTCCTGTTAAGCATTTTAAATTCCCTTAATGTATCATTTTCTTTGTGCTTTATTATTTTACATACATTGAAATGTGTTGTAAGACAGAAGGAGAATGAGTATTTTGCAGGGCCCTGATTTCGATCGTTAAAGTCCAGTATACAATATCTTTCTCATGTATTTATTGTATGTGAGCATTACAGTTTACAGCACATCTTTATCAACACAACTATGGATGTTAAATTAAAAATATAAGAAAATGAATTCTGTTTTAAATGATCCATGATGTCAAGCTGTTTCCTTTGTGAGAAAAATATTTAAAATGAAAACATAAAGACAACTTAAGTGATTGGGTGACATTTCCAGAACAAAGTGATTGTGGATTGTTAAAGTTTCTCTTGTCTTACTGTGAGCATGCTGCTTCCACAGCAAGTGAAAGTCGTCTCCACTTCACCGACATGTTCCCTCGATTTCACGCCTCCTGAGCAGTGAGGATCCCACACCATACTGCCAGTCCCAGTCTGATTCTGGTTTCCAGCACAGCTGTGCAAAATATCCACGAAACATTAGAACCTTTCCCAAAATCATTAGGTCAGTGCAAGACGGGGCAGCCGCTGAGCCAACTCAGTCGGTCAGCAAGAACTCTGCATTTCTACCTCCAGTCCAGCCGTCTGCACTCATAGTTAGACATATTCAGGTACAGTAATGATTGGGCCATTGCATCTTTTCAGGCCAGTTGTCATGTTTTGTTTTTGCTCAGATAAAAATGGTACACCGCGTATACAAATCTTAAAAATCCCTTTTTAAATTGCAAAAACTGAAACATCTGATATTAAAGGACAGGACTTCCTGCTGACCCAAAGTTAAGGTATTTTCAGAGGTGTATTACAAAAACACTGAAAATGTAAAGAGTCCAGGCGTCAGTCGAGGAAATCAGTGCTTGTTAAAAGAGGACCTTTGGTTTTACTCCCTCCTATTGTTCTGGCCGATTGAGGCCTGTGGTCAGATAAACACCGGGGGTCTTCCTGTTGCAGGAGCCTGTTGGAATGTGTGGAACAAGCCCTGCAGATGAGGTAGGCCACGCCCGCCTGCTCCAGCCTCTCCTAACAGCTCTGTTTTTCCAACCCACCTGAAATAAACCACTCCAGTTGGTATTATTACGATGCATTCGTCAGCTAATGTCAGTGTGTTTGCCATAATCTTCAGGTTTGTGTTCATGTGCTCTTAATATCGCCCGCAAACTACGTGAACTGGCGCAGATTCCAACAGGACAGGCCCAGTGGTTCTCAGCTCCTTTGTCTGCTTCATTGTTGCGTTTCCGTCAGTTTGGTCCATGTGCTGCTATCGTCCTACCTTCAAGCTCCCCAGCGTCTGCCCGAGCTTGGTGTCGTGTTGCTTGTCCTGGATCTAATTGAATGATTTGACTAGGCATGGTATTGGTATGAGGTTATATCGAGGATTTAAAACATTGATTTTACAAAACCACTGAAATCTATACGCTTTTGCTTTGGTTTAAAGCCCTTGTCATGAGATGCTTGCATAGATGTCAGAATGCCTGCAGTTTTCTCTGGGTTTATGGGCCGTGGTGCAGCTCTCTCCCTCCAGCGCAAAGCACTGCCTGCCAGGTGGCTTAAAGCAGCCTTCTCCATCTTCCCTCTGCTTACAAGGCAGACAGATTCAGCTGTTCAGAAATGTTTCAGACAGCCGTGGTGTGGAGACTGATACCATGATATGTTTTCCTCATTGTAGTCAGAGCTAAACTCTCATACCAGCCCATGCCTAGATTCAGCCATCAGATTTTGCGGTGATATGGTTGTTGCTCGTTTGTCTTTCAGGAGTTTAACGATTGCAAGAGCGCCATCTGCTGATGTGAGTATGACTTATTACCATGAAGTTTGTGTTTGTTTCTGTTGCCTGATGTGTTTACTAGACACAAACTTCCACAGTTTTAACTATGCTATAATTATACTTTACCCTAAGAGTCCTTCAGAGCCACAAGCTGCTGACAAATAAAATTTGATCACAACTTTATAGTTTGATTCTGAGGACAGCTGTGGTTTTAGTTGCCTTCTGACTTGTTTTATTTGATTGATTTATTGAATGACAGTCAGTCAAATGATTGATGAATTATTAATGATCAATTAGGGACGCACCATATATTGGCGCTAACATTGATATTGGCTGACATAGTTTTTTTTTAACAGTTTTATGATAGCCAATAAATGAAACTGGGCCGGGATCAATGATATTTATTTGTATATTTTGTTTGTAAAGGGAGGGTGGAGGAGGTTGACAGGGATAGTGATGCAGCACAGGATAGCGGTGTGACTGTTTTTGTCAAGGTGTCGAAAGGGTAAGAAATTTATGAAATGTTGGTAAATATCAGAGGGCCATGACGGTAACATTAATATAGGATATCAATATCGGCACAAATCCTGAGTCAAAATGCTACTTTCCTATTGTAGAATAGGAAGGGATATTTTCTATTCTGTTTTCATGTGTGACTCTCACATTAGCGGTGTTGGAGATGGTGGGATCAGTCCGGTGATGACACACATCCTGGTGTTTTACAGGGAGGTAGGAAGAGCGGTTTGTTCAGTCCGACGGCCTCACTGCCGGCCTTCAGCTCTTTAACTTCCAACACAGAAGACAGAGACCTGACCCTGAGACCGACCTGCACGCTCGGCCCTGACGCCGCCATCACAGCCGACTCAGGCTCTGCAGCAGGTGCACCTCATTCAGCCACACACAGCTTGTTTTATATGTATCAGCAGAGATGTCCTGGTTCTGGTATTGTCACTTATCATAAGTCGTCTGTTGTTGTTTTTTTTAATGCACACACAGTTTTTCCTAAGTGTCAGTTGTCCATTCCATTGGAGCAGAAGGAGCTATTTTCAATTAAGCAGCACAGACTTCACCAGCAGCAGCTTTATTAAAGACACAAAAAGGTCCACATGAGAAAAGAAATAGTAATAATTACAAAAAATAATTGAAATCACATAATAAATAATAATCTCAAATACAATACAAATCACTGATTTGTATTGACTTAACTGCCACTGGTTCCACATTCTGGACTTAAACCTGACTAAGCTTTGTGCAACATCAGTTAGCATCAGGACGATGTTATTTGCAGAAACATGTAATCTATGCATAAATCTTTACACAAGGTTTTGTAATACAGCATGAAATATGGAGACAAATAAATAACTGACTCGCAAATTATGCATGATGCAATTTTACCCTTACTGTTCAGTATATATGTCTTTAAATATTTTGTATTCCTACCTTTGTGTGTGTCTACATGCTTTGATTGTCTGTCACTGGAATTTAAAATGGTAAATGGTATTTCTATTCTATTTTATTCTATTCTGTTCTGTTCTGCTCTATTCTATTCTATTGTGTTTTCTTCAAAGTCTTGTCCAGGTGTTCTGCCACACAGGACATCAGTCAGCGCTGCAGTGACCCATGTTTGCCATCCCAACACTCTGCGGTAGCAGAGAAAATGATGGTTTCCTCCCCCAAAAGAGAGACGCCGCTGTCCCCAGAGTGGAGCACGCTGCGGAAAAAGCCAGAGGACTCAGTGAGTTTTGAATGAGTTTACGTCTCTTTAAATGAGAAGCAAACGTCAGAGTGCTGGAGTGATTTGCTAACCTAATAACTTCCTAATGATTCTGTTTGAACCCTTTAAAGGTTGATAGATTCAGTGAAAGTTGTTGATTTGGTACAGTCTTTATCACTCCCTCTGTGTTGTTGTGTGTAACCTTTGTAATTCTAGAGAGCTGGTTGTCATGGGCTTCCTCCCACCCCTCAAGTCCATGTAAGTGTGAATTCTAACACCAACCAGCAATAAAACGCCAACACCTTCATGACTAATTAGAGACACTTCCTCTCCTAACACATACTAATGCATTGCATGGTATTACATATAGACAGTCTTGGTAAGTTTTATTTTATTCTTTAGATATTATGTAAAGCACCATCCTGATTAATGTGTGAGGGCCAACGGATCTCATCAAGTCATCAGGAAAATTCAAAAGCCTGAAAGTTTCAGTAAAAGTTGCTTGGCAGATCCAATCAAAAATAACATAATACATAATAAAATAATACAAAACTACCGCCTTCATGTGATCCTCTCGAGATGAATGCAGACAGGAAATAGAGAAATTTAGACTGAAAAGATTTTTGTGAAATGACACAATACGTCACGTCAAATGCTATGAACTAAGAGAACAACTGAAATTGAAATCTGGAAAAGTCTCATGGTTGAGAAGAATCACCAGCTCTGAGGAATCTAAATCCTCATTACGTACTGCAACACGATGTGGTCCGATGACCCTCTAACATGATCCGTCTCTGCTGTAGATACTTTGTTTGCCTGTTACAGAGCTTGTTGCTTGAAAGCTGCACCGATGGTCATTTTGTAGCTTTGCTGTGCAACAGCAGCATGATTTTGATGACTGCTTTTTATCACACCACTCCACAACTGAAGGGCCATCGTAATCCTGTCACACTCAAAGTCATCTGCTTCCTCTAGATGGGAGCCTGCTTTACGAAAGTCTTCAACGGCTGTCCTCTAAAGATCCACTGTGCTGCTACCTGGATCTTACCCAAAACAAAAGGTGAGGACTCTGGCTTCTTAAAGCCCTGAACCCCAGAAAGTTCAGTTTAGTTCCATTTATTTATACTTTGCCAATTTTCGTACATATGAACAATCTCAAGGCACCTTATGAGGCAAAAAGCTCCAATTCATATCCAGGTGTGGAGATATATTTGTAAACAAATTCAAATGTAGTTTTCAGTTTGATCCTCGCTGTAAATGAGTTCATGATGCCAGTTGGTAAAATGTTCTGTAGTCCAGCAGTGGCATCCGTTCTCCTGAGCAAGCGTGTCGTCTTTACTTCAAAGCAAAAGTGGTCTTTGCTAAAAAAGCCTTTACATTTAAAGGTTATTTACATTCAGAACACCTATAAACATTTCTGTGGCTGATTACTGAGTGATGAAGAAAACGAAGTGCAGACCACCATCCTACGGCCTTTAGAGCCATGGAGCATGTCAATGGGTTAGGGTTAGCTGTCTCATGCTTATCTCACTGGGATTCGCTTATTGTTATAACACTGTAACAACACAAGCTAACAACAAAGTATTTCTTTCCATTTCATGTGTTCAAATACAAAAGAATGTTCTGAATGCATGAACTCTGCTGTCAGAGACGGGCCAACACATTGGCTTCATCTGGAAGCAGAAAGGGTGTACTTAGAGTTTCTCATGCCTGTGCAGTCACTCATGGACATTTCTTCTCCCCCCATGACTGCATTCAGCTGGAAGTAATTCTCTCACTTCAACTCATTCTTCTCCTCCTTAGACCAATACCTGATTCTTGGAGCAGAGGAAGGAATTTACACATTGAACCTCAATGAGCTTCACGAGGACACACTAGAAAAGGTGAGAGAAGACCTAATGAACTCAGACACCCAGTTTCTTGTCATGTTACACTGCTCCCCATCCTGTCCTGAAAGAGATCGGGACATGTTTATTCCTTACATTTCTTTGGCAGGCGTCTGAAAGCTGTTCAGTAAAGCTAACCTCGTTTCTGTCCACAGCTGCTCCCTCAGCGATGTACGTGGCTCTATGTCATGAATAATGTGCTGATGTCTGTGTCAGGTAGAGTCTCCTCAGAACGCTGCTTCTGTCAGAGCTTTCTAGTCTCTGCCTCTCTAAGACTGTGTCCTTTGTGCAGGAAAGTCGTCGCAGCTTTATTCCCACAGCCTAACGGCTCTGTTTGAACAGAAAGGACATCTACAAAAAAAACACGGCAGCTTGTCTCTCAGCACCAATCGCTTCACTGAGAGGATCATTCCCAGGTCGGTACAGGCCAGAGTTTGGTACAGGCCTGAATACAACATTTAGAAACTTTCAAATACTCTTTGTTTAACGTTTTACTGAAGTTTCTTTATTCCTACACTAAGCTTTGTTTCCTCCCGTTTCCAGAAAGTTTGCCATATCTGTGAAAATTCCAGACACTAAAGGCTGTCGGAGATGTAGTGTGGGTAAGTGATTCAGACCGGCTCCAAAGTAGTTCTCATACATCTTCCAGAGATAATCACGAGGAACGCAGTGTGAGAACCCAAATGTCCACAGCACTTGGTCCAAAACTCTTTTGGGCTATTTTTTTCCCCCCCCGTTTGCAAAAAATGTGGAAAATCTGCAGCTGAGTGTTCGCATTGGCAAGTGTCAACAGCCTGAAGCAAATTCTCCACACATTCTCCCTAATATCTCTGCTGCTTATCTGAATAAACAGCCCAAGTGCTTCTTTTCCATGTACTGATACCAGCGAAGTCTTCAGTGTGGTTGTTTTTCCTTGCTGCAGCGAGAAACCCCTACACAGAGAGTACCTTCCTGTGTGGGGCGGTTCCCTCCGGCCTGGTGCTGCTGCTGTGGTATGAGCCTCTCCAGAAGTTTATGCATCTAAAGGTTGGTGCAGACATGTCGTCCCACAAGCATTTACTACTCAAAGTACAAACAAGATGCGTTTTCTTAGTTTCTGTAACTGACACCAGGACATTGATGTCATGTATGAACAGAATCATGAACTCTTATTCAGCCCTCAAGTTCAACAGTCAACTCATATGTTGACAGCTGTGGTAAAAAGAGATGCAAGCAGGAAATGTGCAACTGGAGTTAATGTCTGTTTGAATGTTTGAAAATTGCTCATCTTACATTTTTTTAGTTCAAGTCAATAAAAAATACTTGGAACAAATCGATGTCAGAATTCCACTTGGAAAAGTTGGAGACTCCTCACTGGCACACCGTGTTGGACTTTATGTTACATTATAACATTATGTAAAACTTAGAATGAACACTTTATTTTCACATCTGACAGGTTGTAACTCATTAAAGGGGCAGTGCTATATGTTTTCCAGGAACATAGAAACCTATTTAATTGGCAGCGTTATTTCAGCCGAGGTTTTCTTGGAAGGAAGCACAGCTCGATAGAACATCAGACCAGATGGAGTTTCTATGGAGAGAAAAAACGTTGAGAGAAAACATAAAGCTCTCAACTTTATGTTGAGAGCTTTACTTTACTCTCCCACCGGCATCCTAGGTTTTAACCATGCATCCTCACTGTTCCTATTTCTGCTGATTCGTTCTTCGTCTCTCGCAGCACATACCAGTGCGACTACCAGAGTCTCTGCCAATATTTGAGCTTCTGGTTCTGGTAACAGATGAGTTTCCCCAGCTGTGTGTGGGGGTGAGAGACTGTAAAAATGAGGAGAGTCCAACCAGCCAGCAGCTCAAGTTTGATATAATCGAGCTGAATGCTCCTCCTGCTTCAGTGCCAGGTAGGATAAACCACCAAGCTTCCCGACCCTTCAGACCGTGAGCCTCTCAGATCAAAGCCCGCAGTGATGTTGTCTTTCTGCAGATGGTGGCGCCCTCAGAGCTGTACAAGTAACCCAGCTGGACAGAGACACAGTTCTGATCACGACTGAAAGTGAGTTGCTCTAGTGTCATCAATAAAACACATTTCATGATGATTTGTAATGAACTCTGATCTGTCCTGGTGCTGACTGTGCAGAAGCAGTACAGATAGTGGACCTGAAAGGGCTTCCATCCAAAGAGCTAGCAGCTGAGATCATGTTTGACTTTCCAATTGAAACACTAGGTAACAGCAGCATTCAGTCCCGCTCTAAGCTCGGCTTGTCTGTGCTGACAGCTGAGTAATGCTCCGTATCCTGGCAGTCTGTTTACAGGACAGTGTGCTGGCTTTCTGGAAGCATGGCCTTAAAGGAAGGAGTTTCCATTCGGATGAGGTGAATATAGACACATCTGTCACGCTGAGTCCTTTGTCTGTTGTGTGGCAGAACTCACAGACCTGAGTCATGTCATTTTGAACGGCAGGTAACACAAGAAATCACAGATGAGAGCCGAGTTTTCCGAGTTTTGGGAACAAACAGGTGAGATAACGAAAGAAAACAAACATTCCGTGTTCTGAGTATTCATACCTGAAACAATTGATCAGATTAATTGTGATGAATCAGTTATTAAAATAATTGTCAACTAATTATGAATTGATCAATTGTTAGTTGGAGTATACAGACTTTAAAAAAATACCATTTGCTGAAAGAACAATAACATTAAACCAAAAACTGTACAAAAAATACATATATTTTGCATTTAATTTATAAAAATTTGTAATTATTTATTCGTATTTTTCATATTTCCAATATTATATAAAATATGCTTAGGTGGTTAATTGAAAAATCTGCAGAATGTTCCAATCCTTTGTCCGATTAATTGATTATTCATCAAAATAGTCAATAGAATAATTGAGTTCTAAATTGATAGTTAGTTGCAGACCTAGTTATAGGAATGGTGCTGAGTGATTTGTAAAGTTTAAACTTCTGGAAAACATTTTTTTCCACGAAGCAGGTCAGTGTTTAATTTCTTCCAGTGTGTCTTCCTGGAATATTTTTTTTTTGATTTTCATCCATCCAGATGGTCAAAGATATTAGAAATATTCAGAGCATCCAGACATGATTTTAAGGAAATGATCGTGATGCGATATGTTGCTCAACTCTAATATTAACAAATAAGATAAAAATGATTCCAGGAAATATTTTAGAAATATACTTTTATCAGTGAAAGTGTGACTTTTATTCCAGTTTTGCGTAGCAGTTGTTTTGCAGAAATAAGGAGCAGTACTATCAAACTGACCTTGTTTTGTGTACTTTGTGACCTTTTTCCTTTTGCTCCTGCACTAAACAGAGACATCATCCTTCAGAGTACGCCCACAGACGACCCCTCAGCGCTGAGCAACTTGTACATCTTGACTGGTCATGAAAGCAGCTACTGAGCTGGAAAACAGGTTGATTTCTTAAAGAACCAGGATGTTCTACCTGCTCAAGTTTAAGAAGCGATTCCCTTTGCACTGAAGGCGGAGAAGACCTTAGCACCATCGGCCCACAGCAGACTCCTACTGGCAGTTTCTGCAGGGACACAGCTCCCATCCCACATCAAGAGGCATGTTGCCAAGAAACGGTTGTACAACTCGTCAGTTTGTTTAAGGAATGGCGCATTTAAAGCGGCATCAGCAAAGACTGTGATCTATCTTGCCAACTGTAGTCATAACCCAACAGGGGGAAATGGAACCTTACACCAGAAACCTGGGTTGGATATTTTCAGTCCCCCCTTTAGACACTGTGACCTACAATCTCCTGTTATTTGTAACAAGAGAGTTTAGTTGTATGATGAATTGGCACTTTATCCAGAGAGTGAAGAAAACATTTGCGCCTTTATCAGAGAAATGCTAAACAAATGGTGCAGTCTATGGTTCTGCTTCCTATGTAAAACTGAAATGGACCTCAGTGTCTCCATGTCAGACCAAAAATAACTGCAATGATTCAGTATTTCTCAGTTTTAATGTGTTCCTTCTATATGCTGACATTTTTATTGAAGGGCTTAATTGAATCAGCGTTTGTCCACAATCCTAACAACCTAATGTGTAACATCAAAATGTTCACTAAAACTAGCCAGTTTCTCAAAGTAACATTGGTTCAGTTGAGATATAATTTGGTCCACATGGAAACTAGTGACTGGTATGCAGATTATTTCATTTATAAAGAGCTGGGATAACTAGAGAAGAACCAGAGGGTGTTGACGCTGTCAGCAGGGATGGAGTGATGAGGCTACAAACTGTTTCACTCTCTCTCTCAAGTTCTCTCTTTTCTTTCACAAGTGGAGTGTTGCGGATTTTTGCTTTAACGCTCCATTAGATATATATCAAAGTTTATTAGAAAATGCTTTGAGTTTATTTCAATTCGAACATGGAGATAGAAAAGAATGGAAGAAAGGTAGCAGAAAAGGAAGAGTAGAGGAGAGGAGAGAAAGAAGCTTGGAAAGAATACAAAACAAAACCCTAGAAGTCTGTTTCTATAACTGAGTCCATGTTTCCTGACCTGTTATGTCCAGATTAGAAAAGAGGTCCTAACTTGGTGCGTAACAGATTCTGGCCATGCCCATCATGTTATCAAAATGAAAACCTGCTGTTGACTCATTGGCAGACTTTAACACCTTTAAAGTTGCCATCAACAGTGCCCTGTTAACTTTAAGACAACAAATAAAGAAAAGTGCCAAAGTACTACGCCATATCCTGCTGCACAAGCATTTCGTATAATTTTATCAGATTGAAGTCTTTCGTGGATATAAACGCCTGCAGTGGAGTTCTTTGTCGCATGGTCAGAGTCAGCTTGAGAGGCAGAGCTCCATCAGGTCAGAGGTCAACTGCTGCTGCCTTTCGTTGAAAGAGGTTAGTCCAGGTGGTTTGGACATCTGAGCCTCTTGGCGCCTTTCTCTGAATGAACCTCTTTAGTATCATAAACTTCATGCTCCATCTTTTCTGAATAATTATGCAAAGACCAAACATACTTTTATCCAGATTGATGAGCAGCAGTAGTTACTTATTTGTATTTTCATACTTTGATGTTTTAGAGCAGCAAACTGATAAAATATCAGTTTTTTATCTGATATAAAACTGATATATATCAGTTATATATAAAACTGATATATATATATATGTTTTATCTATATTATATATTTAAAACGATTTGCAAGGGACCAGATGAGCAGAAATGAAGGGAACCGACTTCTTAATACAGATGTGCATTTATTTTGATTAAAGTACTGTTGATAGAAAGAACAATTCAGGTGTACTAAAAGTCTCAATTCCACTACATTGCAGTTGTCTGTGATTGTGTATAATGATATTTATGTTATTTATACTGTAAGCTGTATTAATAACTCCCCCTTTTTTCTGAGACACATTGGGAGACAGTATGCATTCCAGTTTGAATTTTTTTTATGTTTTGCTCTATATATGTATATAACAACTGAGAATGCATTTCTAATTTTAAATAATTTTTAATATGAAAAAAATTAAAGATTTTAATGTCCTCTATTACTTATTTTTTTATAAATAAATTACATAATATATAAAAAAATATATAAAAGGATATTCAACAACACACATTTTATTAAATATGAAATCAGTAGGTTCAGCTGGTTTGTCACAACTGCCAACACTGCAGCTCATGTCCCATCATGTCCCAACCTGTGGGACATGATGGGACAGGCAAGACTGGAACCAACTAAAGAGAGTTGGGAAGTTTTCAACTTTATTGTGCAAAAGTCATGGAGAGTAACAGCATCTGTCTTCTGTCACCAAGGTTTAAATCTTGCTGCATCAATCAGATTCCAATGTAATGCTTAAAGAAGACAGATGGCAGCTGTAAATGAACAGGATCCATCAACTGTGCTGTGTGACAAGTTCTCTCTCAAATATGCATTATAAGAGGTGGACAATGCGAAATGAAAAAATCCAGAGTCAAAGCGAAAACAAGAAAAGAGCAGCAATGTATTAACCACCAGCCAGTTTAGTTTAGTAATATTACCTTCATTTGAATTACAGTATCTTTCTTTTTTTTTCTGGAGTGCTTTGCAAATCTACAGCAAATAGATCAAACAGGACCGAACTCTGGAGAACACAGGAGAATGGTTGTGAAAATCACTTACAGGACTTGTTTTTTATCCATGTCCTCTTATTGATTTAAATATTCTTAATGATTATCAAAAAAAAAACAACCAAATAATTATATAGGTGTGCAGATATGAACATAGAAGATTATGCATACTCTAAACCCCATACATGAGAACAACAGTGGTGCTTTATGTACGTACTTGTACAAGGGATGAGAGAGAGAGAAAAAATAAACTTTTTAGAGAACTAAAATCAACTGCTGATTCCATTTTAAATTTGGAGTTTTTGACTACGTGCGTAGAGCTTAGCTTACAACAAGATTGACTTAATGATGGCTGTAGAGCAGGTGTGTCAAACTCATTTTCATTTTGGGCCAAATCAAGATCACGAAGGCTCTTAAAGGGCCGGTTGTGCTAGAATGTGTTGATAAAACCTGTTCACAAATTGTTAATATGTCAATGAATTCTTAAAATTACATAATATTATTGAATATCTTTTCAGTCCCTTCAGGAACTAATAATAAATGAGACTGTTTATTTACTCGCTGTGTAAATCATGGACTATAATCATACATCAACTAAATTCTCAAGAAACTGGAGGGATTGATTGATATAAATTGGCAGTAAACAGATAAAAACTGCATTGATATGATTGATAATATAATATTTAATCACGCTTAGTGTTTAGTCTACACTGTGGAGGGCCACATAAAAAGCTACGGCGGGCCAGATTTGGCCCCCGGGCCTTGAGTTTGACACATGTGCTGTAGAGTGTAGACTGCCCAACAGGAAGGGGACGCGGGGGCTCGGGATGATGACACTCCATGCTGCGTTCTCCCTCTGAACAGTGGATGGCGATGATGGCGCTCACAGCTTGATGGCAGCCATGGTTTTAAACTGAAGAAGAAGTCTGGACGAGCGCAGGAGCGCCATTTCGCTGTCCATTCATTAGTAAGAAGGCCTTCATCGCAATATATTGGTGAGTAAGACGTTTATAGCTTATAACGTGAGGTAAACATGTTCGGGTGGAGAGTGGAGATGCGCTGCTGTTATTGTGGCGCTGACACAGATGGTTGAGGGGGAATGAGCTGAAATACAACACACCAACCAGTAAGTTAGCTAGCCATTAGCTCACTGAAGTCACGCTTTCCTGGTGACATAACTCATTAAATTATACTTAAATGAAATATTTGTTGTGCTCTAACTACTTGTACATTATTTGTAATTATTTGAGGACTGGTATTGTTGCATTCGAGTTGGTATTACTTTAGTAGTAATTGTAGAAACGTTTAAGAAATGGTGTTGCACATTGGCGTTAGCAATTAGCTCCGTGACGTGAGGTTGAGCTCATGTTTACATTTTCACATTGTTAAATATATTCGGTGTATTTTGTCTTAATGCATTACAAAACGAATTTATTTTGACGTGTGCTAGATCTGGGAGAGAGGTAGTGGGTTTTCAGTTTTACAGTAATGTAATCGGGGGAATCCTTCGTAAAATATTTCCATTTTAAGGACAAGGTCGGGAGCTCTAAAGTTATGGCAGCTCTTATGAAATCAGTTTCAATATTTTCATCTTTGAAGTTGAGACCCAATTGTAACATCTGAAAGTAGATCAGGATCAGCATCTTGTCATTTAGATTTTCTTTCACCAAATTTCTTGCCACTTCTAGTACTGCCTTCAGGTTCAGGGAAAAAAGACATCTGGCATATTTCTTTATTGAATTTGGAGCTGAATGCTTCATAAATTAGCAAATCTGCTTGTCTGCCCACCCAGTGGAACAGATATTATTTTTTTAATCCAATAACAGTAACAGAGCTTCTGTGATTGTAATTAAGATATATGAACCCTTAACCAAGCATTAAGCAGAGATTTAACCTTCTTTGATACTTTCTCTGGTTTTGAGATCTTTGGAAATAATCACCCCTAAATACTTGAGGCTTTACAGGAATAGCAAACACACCAATTTAAGGGTGGTCATGTAAGTACTTTACAGTTTGGTGAAAATGGTGGGGCCTCTGGCCTTCTGTTGGAGTTCTTTAATCTTCGTCTCTGTGCACCACCATCCAGGTTTGTTTACCAGTTTCAGGACCCTTCAGTGTAAATGACCTTGTAGTAATGAGAGGTGGTTATACATGAAAACAGGCTTTTAAAGCCAAAAAATGACCAAATGTTACTAGGCAGGCATGTCATACAAATAGAACATACATTCACTGTCCAGCGCTGGGCCACACTTAGCTCACCTTAGGGATGTGACCAAGTGAGGCAAAGACGGAAGCAAGAGTTTAATTTTTTATTCTTCTGTACCTTCCTTAAAGGTACAGATTGCAGTTTCAGTCAACTAATCAGTTTCAGTCTGATTATGTATGACTGGCTGCAGTCACACATACCTATGGTTATGTAAACTGCAGTGCGTGCATGTAAACAGATAAAATTGATGGAGGAAAACGGACTCCTTACCACTTCAGAGTTTCTACTTTCACCTGACAGACATTTAGTTCAGCAGCATTTAACTTTAGAGCCAGAGCAAGGCTGTCGATCATTGAGCTGTTTTCCTTAATCTAATAGTTAATGTCCTCCAACTTTTTTCTCTTGTATGTCAAATCTGGAACCTAGAAAATGTATTGTCGCCAATATTAACTTGAGAGATCACTTGGTATACTCCATTTCTTCTGTGGGAGCCCTTATCTGGTCGGTTCCTGAGTATAGCTTCTTTTCCACGGACAAAAGTCATCTTGTAGCAGATTCAAACATTCAAACATTTGCACTCCTTTTCTTTATCATTTTTGTAATTGATTGAAATATCAGAGTATAACCCTGAATATTAGTGTGAGAAGTAAAAGCTTCACTTTTTCAAAGACGGTAAGAATGTCTGCTCGGTCCACCATCTTGTCAAACCTCTGTCAGAAAGTTTGTTTCTCAATATGCACATAATGCAATTTACTTCTAAAGCTGGAACTAAGCAGAGAGACTGACTTGTGATCCATAATTAGGTACATTTGTTAATTATTCTGTCCATATTCATATTGTAATTTGTTGCAATGTGAAATATGACTGGATGATATCTGATGTCCAGTGATTTCCACCTTCTTTTGGAACTTGAGTGAATAACAAATATTGGCTTTTAGGTATGCTTAATGTTGGGATCTTTGTTCAGCAGGAGATAACATATTTTTATTACTCTTCTAGGAAATTCACACGTCATCATGGTGAAAATCTTCATTGGCAACCTTGCATCGGAAACAACTGCCAAGGAGCTGCGAGAACTCTTTGAAAAGTATGGCAAAGTCTCGGAATGTGATATTGTGAAAAACTTTGGCTTTGTTCACATGGACAACCTGTCAGAGGCAGAGGAGGCCATCAAAAACCTCCATCAGACTGACCTGAACGGCTGGCGCATGAATGTGGAGATGAGCAAAGGCAGATCCAAATCCAGCACCAAACTTCATGTTGGCAACCTCAGTGAAGATGTCACAAGTGAAATTCTTCGGGCCAAGTTTGAGGAGTTTGGTCCGGTGGTCGAGTGTGACATTGTCAGAAATTATGCCTTTGTTCACATGGAGAAACTGGCGGATGCCATGGAGGCCATCAATAAGATGGATAACACAGCCTTCAAAGGTGAACTATTTGGCAGGGAAAAGCTCCTTGTCTTTTGTGTCAGTTGATACCAATGTTGGATCCTTTTTGTTGCATTACCTCATGGACTACAGCTATTCACCAATGGGTTTTGCAGAATTTTCTGCAAGACCTGTTGGGAGTGTTATAGGGACAGCTCGCTGACAAAATATCACCATAAGCTGGCTCTACAAATGATTCTCCTTCGCATTCATTATCGGTCACATTCCTTCACCATGTTCTAGTCGGTAAGACCCTATTCGTGTCGATCCTCTCGGTCTCATGCGTTTGTTCTCTCTCCTTACAAGGCAAGCTGATCAACGTCCGACTGTCCACCAGTCGGCTTCGCCCGGCCCCGGGAATGGGAGATCATACCGGCTGCTTTGTCTGCGGGAAACACGGTCATTGGTCGAAAGACTGTCAAGTCGGTCGGGACGATAGCTACGGTGATGGCACAAGATTTCGCAGCGTCCGGGAGCCCTCATATGGCATGGCCGCACCTCCACCAGCTGATTACTCTATGTATAATCGAGCTAGTTATGCTGGCGGGTTGCCGCCGCCGCCTCCTCCTCCCCCGCCACCTCCTCCGCCTAATCGTGGCTACGCCGCTCAGCTGGGGGATTGGTATGCGAGCCGAGCTGCAGGCGCATATGCAGACAGGTCATATGTCTACGATCGTAGCCGTGTCTACAGCAGTGCTGATTACTATGAAAAGTATAGAGCTCGGCCTTATGGCTCAAGCTATTTCGAAGAGCGTCGTTTGCCCTATCTCCCACCTCCGCCCCCTCCACCTCCCCCTTCCTCTCT